TTCTTAAGTTGCTTGGGTCACATTATCAACGAATGAATGGTTGACGTTTTGTAGGACAGTTATTGACAGTCCACCGTGGGCTCACATCGATTAGAGAGGCAAGATTTAGGCATGTTGATGCTCATCTAAACATCATTGTGATTTGTCTATGCTCTGCATATGGCTCATTATTGTAGAATCAACACCCATTACCCATTCGCCCACTTATTTCACCTCCCATCCTCCCTTGCCACCAATTTTGGAAATGCATTTAACACCAAAGCTTACAAACGACGTTTGTTTTAGGTACCCCTGATGTTGTCAGCCCAACTAATGACAGCATCTCCGATCTCACAGGACAGCAGAACTTTTCGGGAATTGAAGAAACGCTAAATGCCACCAATAATTCCAACTCTTCACCGAGTGCTCTGCAGAATCCTACTGATGATCTAGGTGAGCCCACTAACGATCTTCAAACTAATTCTTCTCTCCTCAATACTTCGTCTCCAGTGGCAGTGCAGTCAGAAGTTGATCCTTTACTGAAAGTAGAAATTTTACAGGTGTTGGTTGAAAGGTTATACGATACCGATTTTAAAATCGAGAATTTATTCTGGAACATCGGATTCCTCCTGGAAAAGTTGTTTCTAAATCAAAATGTTTCATCGCGTCCTCCTTTCAATAACTTCACATTATTTCGTCGGAAAAATTATATAGTACAGAACTACGAATACTATTCCAATTTCAGCAAGACGGTGTTCATCAATAAAATGGTTGAGCAATCAAAATCAGAAGCAGTGGATCGTGAGTACTTTGAGCTTATAGCTAGTAATTTGAGAACTTTCTATACGATTTCCACTGCCAACTTCGAACGGATATCGCTTCTAATGCGTATCCGCAAAGTGTTAGTTTCAAATTACGAATTTATTGCCATGAATGCGTTAAAATCGGGCACCACAATTGCTTCTGATCCGATCCGGCTTCGGAAGACACGCGGCGCTGCCACAAAAGTCATTAAACATCCACAAGTGCGCCAATTTCTTCGTACAATGAACTATTGGACTAGTAACTCGACCAATAGAACTGCTCCCGCACGAAGGATATCGTGACTTCCAACCAGGGAAAAAAAGAAATCTGAATTGCAATATCACTCTTCTTTGTTATGAACAGTAGAAATCCTTATTGCTCTTCGTATGTTTTAATAAATTCCTTTTCGTCCAATAGATCAAATGTCTTGTCAAACCATACTGTATAACTTTGTGTAGTGCAAACTTCCGTTTCAATTACCTAATGGGAATTGAGTTCAATCCGAATAGCATCTCACACGTTTGGATTTAATTGGAGAGAATCCACAGTCATATTCTAGATGAGGTGCTTAGGCATATCACCAATGACTGTGTTTCACTACACGAAGACTAATAATTCGGGAGTCAGTCAGAGCCTCTACTTTCATCACTACGTAGACTACTAATTGCAAATGTTGAGATAATTTCAACCCAGTAAAGGCCACCGTAACTCTGAGCAGAAATGAATTTCTTGTACCATTATTATTGGAATACATTTGTTTACCTTGCACTTCACTTGGATAAGGTAGGTTAGGCAAGCTGCTTAGAAGTATTCAGGAGACAAAAATATAAATCATCAGCGACATGACTGTGATTAGAGTGAGTGGAAATTGGGCTAGAGAGAAGAAAAGTGAGAAATAAATGGAAGCTACAAATGAGGTGAGAACGACAACGTTAATGCTTTATATAATTTACTTATACATATACGTATATATAGATATATGAAAATCAACAATTCGTGCGTTCGTATGAGGGGTGGATGGGAAAGAACTCATATGGAGGTTACAAGACAATATTTTACGAAGACGCCGTGGGAAGGGCACGAAGGTATTGCATTCGTCGTCCTTTCGTCAACAAAGTAGACAGAGGAAAAGTAATGAAAGGTAGACTATGCGCTAGAACTGTCACTGTTACTGATTCGGCCCGACGTTGTTGCTTTGAGGTGATGATGATTCTATAGACAAGCAAAGAGTATAAGTAGCATGAGGTCATTAATGAAGCAGAGTGAGGAGTGAATGAATTAGACATTTAGTAATGTTAAATATGCGCAAACTCTACTTCGTAACAACAGCGAAATTCAGCTAATTCTCTGCAGCCATATTATAACTAAATAAGTATAAGCTACTTATATCCCATAAGCAGATAGGAAATTATAAGAAACTTACGAGTTGTGTGAGTGTCGGAATCTGGGGATGCAGTATCAGTACAGCTTCGAGGTGCTCGTTGGTTGGGTTGGTGAGTTGGAGTGACAATTCCATTCCCATTCGGTGATATTATTCTACAAGATTGTAACAAATACCAAAGAAGGAGTGTATAAATAATTGAACGCATCGGTCAAGCAGCACACTAGCCAAAAGTAGCGACAAGTTAAACAAAACTGGAAGGCAGCTGACTGAACAGTTACAACTTACGTCCCTGGACTACTATGGACATTAAACTTTCATCTATATAAACTCAACTCAAGTAAATCTTGTGAAACTGGCGCATCTTCATTTTTCACAATTTTAATTACATTTAAATCCCCACATTTTGATGATCTTAGCAATAGCCACGAGAATGAAAAACGTGCGATTTCGGTATATATATATATATATATATATGTGTGTGTGAAGGGTTACGACCCGTTTGATTGGACAAAAAAATGAACCGACTCAAGAAGATGAAAAAGTGAAAGAACGGAACTCACGTTTGAGCGCTAATTAGTGTGGCTTCACCACCGTGAATCGGATCAAAATTGAAGGTATAGATGTAGCCATCTAGTGAAGCGACTAAGAGTCGATAGCGATCGCCGTTACTGGGACAGAAAGAGAAAAATTGTATGTTAGCACAAAATATTCATTAGAATAAAACATGCACAAAATAGAGCATTCGAAGCTACAGAGGAGGAAAAACCCTAAGGGAACTTAACCCAGCGGCATCTGATTCTAACTCATTTTCTCATTGAATAAACTTTAAATAACATTTTTAAGATCTCAAGCCGTTTATCCCCCACAGATGACCTCAGACATTGATTTCAGTTCATTGCCTTCTTAATGCGACACAGTAAACCCCTCTAATATGCTAATCAAAGTCATTATGTCCAGATCTTCATCACCCTATTGACCTGCAAAGAAAGTGACCCTATAAGTTCAGTTTTCTCTAGATCGATCCTAACGGTCCTTGTGTATTGATCCCTGTTTTAATTGGAGTAAGTATTGCCTATCAAAATATAACGAGACCTTAAAGTAGTAAATGCATCCATTTCTATTCCTCATGATCACCCTTTTCTCGTGGATTGTAGGAAACAGTTCACTCCAAATGGCTATTTGTGAAATGAGTCATCACGGTGAAACACGTCTATTTCACCTATTCTCCTCCATTTTTTTCCTTATTTGTTAAGTTATTCACTTATTTCAATAGTAAATTATGCCTGAGCACTTATCTATGTTAGTCAGCATGAATTCCATAACCAGTTTCGTCATCAAAAAATCTTTAATCGCCTGATCAATAATGACTCCATGTCAACTTGGTAAATCAATTTTACTTGATTTCTCAACCCTTATTTCATCAACCTTACCCAATCTATGGTCCATTCACTCCTCAACTGTATTTACTACTCATCTTAATTGACCTTTCCTCCTAATTGCTTGATATTGATGCTGCCAACGGTCTCAAATTGACCAACTCACCCAGTAAAGTCATGCCATATCCAGACCAAAATCAACAATATATATATATATATATATATATATATATATGTTTCTGCTGAAATCAGAGAGCAATTTGAATTATTTCGCAAAGTATATAAGCGGTCTCCCGGACTGACCAGCACAACCAATTGTAGCAAAATAGAACAAAGCAGGCTAGTACACTCTAATATAACTCTAGAGCTACCTACAATTCAACGCCATCTATAAGCTTACAATTCTCTGGCAATTTTTGTACCTCTGTAAGGTCTGTAAGTCGATAGACCTTCGACTCAACGGTCGCCTATTGCACTACTACCCTAGTCAGCGATAGACTACGTTGAAATCAGTTCAACCAAGACTCACCAAATAATAGCCGCAGTTTTCTTGCAGCCACTTCCAGGTCCTTCACTTAAATGATCACCGTCGCCATGTTGAGGAATGTTGGCAGATGCCTGAGAGACTGTCCTAGAGCCGGGAGGAATTCTAGCAAAAGCGAAAGATCGATCCTGTGTGAAGACCTCGGCCACAGGGTTTGGAAGGTACGAAGCTCCTGTTTTCAATGCCCCACCGACCCAATTCATGACGGTTCCCGTCCAGCTTGCAGATGAAGCTGATTCCTCAGTGAGTTGTGAAGCGGTATCAAGTCCGCTGGATGTACTACCTTCTTCAGGCCTGAGAGATTCACAAAGGATATGCAAAGCAATAGGAAAGCAAAATAAATATATTCCTTAATCTTAATAAAACTTACAAGCCAGGTGAAGCAGATCCAGGTTTATGGAGCTTGAAAATATGAACTGTCTCGGTGTTGCTAGCACATACTAAGAACCGATCATCGGCAGAAAAATTCAGTGAGCACACTGTAACATACCTAAACGTTAAATAAAACACAACTGAACATAAGCAATTTTGTGTTAAAAAAACCACATTGGTCATTGGTCTGCATTGGTTTAAAAAAGAAGGGAAACGAACGCTGATGCTCAATATTTCTTAGGTTAGTTGATAAAATCGGATACACAAATGAAAAGAAAGCCCAATGCATTCATTGTTGATATGAATCAGTAAAATACACTATTGTTTGGAGTGGAATTGGGGAGGTTTAATGCGATGTATATCTAAAGGTTTTAACGCTATGCTGATTGAGGTCAACCAATAAGTACACATGAAGCAAGCATGAAAACGACCTGCCTCTATTAGCTAGGGTTCGCGAATACCAATTAACATTTAAAATAAATGTAATTACCACAGCAGTGTTACAATACTTAATATCTCGCCGGCTAATTTAGGTGTCACAATTTTAACGCTAATACACGCACATTGTGAACGGAAAGGTCAACAACACTTGTTAGAGCTAACTAATAGAATTCAAATTCCTCACTAGAGATTGCATAATGCTATCATCCAACTCAAGATGATTGCTTAGAAAACACTTCCCCACCCCCAAAGGAGTTGAGCAAAAATAATGATAGGAGGAACAAGATGGCCTCTCCAATAATATACATCTTGAAAGTAAGCTAACTCCTGCTTTCTACGACGATAGAAGCAACAAATATAATTTGAGGCAATTTCCCTTAATACGTCTGATGTGTCCAATTTGACTACTTAATTATCTTCTTGTGGCAATAATATACGAAATCAACAAGATAAAACCTGTTCTAATTGAAATCTTCTGAGTTTTGTATTCATTCCCCCATTGTATTGTAGACCTCACTAAGCAATGGTTTTAGTGGCTAATCCTCAAAACTTGGAAACACACCGAGCAATACCACGACGGAATTCCATCACCCTCTCTCCTTCAGGAATGGTGAAGACTCGAACAACAGTTCCACGTTCTGAGGCAGTGGCGAGGAGAGTGGAAGATGTGTTGAATGCCAAGACTGCTAGAGGTCCGTCGTGAGCAGCAATGGAAGTGACGTTCTTAATGATGGGAAAATAATGACAAAGGTAATATGCTCAAAAAAATTGAACAAAATAGTCTAGCAATGTGGTAGGATAGCCACTAAAATTACGATTTGAAAATATCGAATCCATGAATATAGTTGAATTTATAAAAAAGAATACATGGTAACCAAATAAATAGCCATGGCATTCGAGAATAGTCGCCATCTACATTGATAAGTACTCTACCGGTTTTAATGGGGCGATAGTTCTAGGAATAGGGCACAAAGAAATGTCCCTATAAAACAGCGATTATGTGCGTCAGTTAAGAGAAATTCGATGATAAGTATTCATTGGTTTAAATTGAGTGAGTGGAATGGCCAACCATATTAGTGAAGTCTGTTTAATAATAAAACCTCTCTTATTGGAGATTCCGTCGGTGTCTACGAACATTCTTCTAAATAGGCTTGGTCGTTACTAGCAACCAAGTGCAGAGTCCAAATAATCAGTCTCTAATCGTTTCTATCTGGATTTGTGAAATTAATGGCACACCAAAAAATGTTGGTAATTTTAACAGACGATACTGATTTCATTTGAGCAGTATTTAATAGAGAGCTTGTAGAAAGTACCTCGGTCGTTTATAACGCTTCAAATGTATTGGTGAATGGTGAGCTACGAGGCAAGTCCATTTGAGGCAAGTTAAGGCGTTAGATCAGGAGATCTACTGAATCGAATTAAGTAGGTTTTACTTCAAGTAAGAGGCAAAAAGTTGCAACGCTAACGCTTGTATCACGTGGATTTAAGACCTGGCAAAAAGTGCACACCTCCATGTCTACGTAAGCGAATGCGGGTGGTAGTTTTTTACGAACTTATGAAGAGTGATATATACTAGGAGGTTTATGGCTTTTAAGCGGACCCTGTATCGTCAAAATTCGGCAACGAAATACCACGATAGAAGCAGTTAATTAACAATAAAACCACTAGATCATACAGTCTGCGTTTTTAATAGGCACCTATAAACAAAGGCAAGCTGAAATATTAAACCAAAGGGCATTGAAAAAAGATGAGTAAGGACGCAGACATAGTCATAATAAATTGAGTCGACTATAGCGGATTTGCTAAATGTACGCTACAAATCAGTAGAATAACTAATAAGCATCACCGACAATACCGAATTCACCCTTGAAGTGAAACGTTAAGGTGAATAGAATAGAAACTCGATAAACGATGCATCAGCTCTCCCCATTTTAACAAAAAAATAATGAGTGGTGAACTTTTGCATTTCATGATGGTTTGATAACCAAGAATTCGTCATCTTTTCACCCAATTTTCACTGAGGCTGAGAAATGGATGGTTCACGATAGCGTTAGTGGAGAAAAAACTATGGTGATCTCCTATTCAAGCGTACATCTAATCCTTAAGCCAAGCTAGGATTTACTTTTTGGAAACTTCTTTCCCCCATGCGAAATAATCCATTATGAATTGATAAGACTGGTCAAAACAGCTGCAGTTGAAGATCGTTGGTGTCATCATGTAAGAAGACTAAATGAGAAATTAAAGGAAAAAAGTCTTAGTTCATTTAACAGAAAAGGGCTACTTCTTCAAAAAGATGATTATCGACTCTAAACTCACAAAGAAAGAATGACCACCTACAGAAAGCATTAATTAGATTGGGAGATTACACTGCATCCTCTAGACTCACCAGGCTTCGACTCAACCCATTATAATGATCTCAGACACAATGAGCATGCTCTTTGAGAAAAACGAGTTCAAAATATAACTGAAGTGTGAAACCTCTTAAACAAGCAATGAAATTAAAAGCAGGATTTTACTAAAGGGAGAAGCGAAAAAAGGGAGCAATAGGAGAAAATAGTATATAATGGCAAGTTTTCGCTATCTAGTATGATATGCATAATTATAATATAAATTGTGCTTTAATGCTTGAGAGGTCAAACATAATTCCCACTTAAAGCAATAAGCTATTGAGGACAAAGGTGATGTTTGTAGGAGGACTACACAAAATAAATTGGGAGGTTAACGGTAGATCTACTTACCGAGAATTTAATGGCATCAAAGATGTAGACCGTGCCGGTTTTGTAAACCCCTGGATAAGCTAGAAGGCATTTTTCAGATCGAGAGGAGAAAGCAATCACTCCATATTTATTTAGCGGCGTATTTTCTATGCGATGCAACAACTCCATATCACGAATGTTGTGAATGAATATCTCATCCTCTACGCAGACAATCAGCCGCTAAAATCAAATAGGATATTAGGAGATAGAAAATATAATAAGTAGATGAAAGGTTAGCAAAAGCAATACTAAGTAGTGCTGGAACTACCTGGCCATAAACTAAATGGTGATAAGGACAAAATGAATTGCATTGGATTAAAAATTAAAAAGCAGCTAATCTCAGCTACCTGCGCGTGGCTATAGAAAATATAAATGAACCGAAGCTGCAAGACCAAACAGGAGTTCCGAAAAATAGTGGCTACAAGAACCAGAAAGTCAAATGATGAAGACCAAACATTAGAAAGCAAGCGAGTGAAAACGCACTTTATTCATAAAACCTTTCAGTGCATAATGAATTTGATTCCTTAATCTAGATGCCCAATCAAGATTAAAACTTGGAAAAGGCTTTTGCCGCGCAGTAGAGGCCTCGAAGACCAATTTATTCTCTTTTTGAAACACTGAATTTATTATAATAGAACCCGAATAGAGTAGAAAGTTGAAAATGACGATTCCTTTTTTCCAGAAAGCATTCTTACATAACTACAAGACACGAACGTCAGAATGACTTTAAGTATTCATTTTATAAATTTTTTACACTAGAAAGCATCTTCGCCGCTCATAACAGATTAAATGCTAGTTTCCTTAAGTTATCTTATGAAGGACAAGGGCACATTCTTCAAATATCGAATTCCATTTTTCAAAATCGTTTCCTTTCAGAAACAACTATGTTTACGCCTGTTCGAATGACGCAGAGTATATCATCTTCAAAAAGAATTGGGCTTATATCATGCAAAGAATGTATACAATATAAAAACATACTTGGCGATTCATTTTAACGGCGAGAATGGTGCTAGAGTATCGATAATCACAGATAAGTGAATCCCTACGAGAATGGAATATAAGTAATCTACGAGGATCAACTGCAGAAACAAGGGTAACGAGATTGCTAGTAAATAAACGTCCAACAAGATACATTGGTTCACCATCTATAGTATAAAAATTAAGCGTATTTTAAAAATCTCATCATACTGATAGTGTAGGTTTCGGTAACTTGGTCATTTTCAGTGGAAAGGAGGCTATAACCGGAACGTGTGCCGATGCAAAGTGATCTAAAGTGAAATGCAACGAGCATAACAGATGAAGTTAATCAAGAACAGGTTAATAGTCCAATAAGTAGCTTTTATACTCACGTGTAGTCTTGATTAAAATCTATGTAGTAAATGGTCGTATCATCTACAGACTTGTTGGAAATACTCAACGCCATCTCCAGCCCAATGGTTTTGAACGAAGGGGTTCCAAGTAGACCATTCAAAACAATCGTATTCCATTTGCTATTAATTACTTTATACGCAAATACGACAAAAAAACTATTTTTGACGTTATTTTATTGAACAAAAAGATTATGCAATTGTTTTATTCAAATCAATGAAATGGCTGATGATAAAGTAATAGTGATGGAAATACTTGTTAATACTGATATAATTTTCAAAGCGGCGGATTAGTTTGGTGAGGAAATGCAATTAAATAGTTTCATTCCAGTTCTACTTTTGTACTAAAATCATGAATTTCAAGATTTAGTCAAATGAGTGCATCACTAACAAACTGCACCTATTTAGGCTACTATTACAGATTATGAAAATTAATATAACTATTAGCCTTCAAGTAAGCACAAAATGTGAAACCGTGTCGAACACATTCAGAAGAAATAATCTCAATGAACTACACACTGTTAGCTTCACTTCTTTAGTGGTTGAGAGGGAAAGGGGAGAGGGGAGTTTGGAGATAGAGAGGAATAAATGTAGGGTATTTTGCCTGAATTGGGAAAAGATACCCAGACAATATGTGTTGGCTGCCTTTTAATGCACAACAGAGTGATTTGGTGAGTTTGACGTTGACTATAAGCATATGTTTGGCCAAGAAATCTTATCTGAGGTGTCACAAGGTAAAATTATCTTGACAGGCTTGTGGCCGCTTATCTTCCAAAATTAAATTCACCTTCCATTCAAACACCATATTTAAGCAAACTATTTTAAGTTTATGATTTATTAACAATTTCAGTTGGTCAGTAGAAGGATTACAAATTATATAATGCCTTATTTTTACAACGGCAATGATTTTAGAAGAGTATTCCCAAACTCTTTAAAATTCACTTGGGACGATATTACAAGGATTTGAATGCAGATGGATACAGGTCTACACTGCTATGTTTCGAAACCCTCGTCCCACAACTGACATCCAAAAATCAGATGTCATTCATATATATTCATGGATTGACTCCGTTTTACTTAAAAGAGCACTTATCTCCTTGCATGAGGAGTCTTACGCATACGCAGTAGTCATCCGGATCTTCGGTCACTCACACTATCTCAATTCTTTTAACTTTCGGTTTCCATTCAAAAGTTCATTAACGGTTGGTCAATCTCCTTTTTATCGCGTTTCGTATTGAGGATTGAAGATCTAATGGGTCATTGACGCGGTCAGAAGCAAGTTACTTTACGTTTCTTCCTTGAGGTATTATTCCTGCCTACCAATTTCAACCGTCATATTTTCTTTTCAGGCAGCCAATAATTATTCAAGAAAATCACACTTTAAAATCACATTACTATTCATGAGCATGACTCAGAATTTCTATGAAAGAAGTACTTTTCGCACTTTCTATTCCCTCAAAACTAACTCTAGGTAAAAAATCGTATATATTGTTATGTTATATGTCAGTCATGCATTAAATTTATTGACATATAGACAGAAAAATTTCTTAAAAATGGAAGGCACTGTTTAGTTGAGAGCCTAGAAGTCTCCTTCTGAGTATTAGAGCGTACAAATGGCACTGGTCGTAATAATAGCCAAAGTCGCTACTTTAGTGTGCAATGCGATAATAGGATACATGCAACCATGCTTTCTACTCATGTTCTAGCTCACCAAGCAAAGCCCTGAAGAATTTCCCCAAATAAATAATTTATTTATTTATTTCAAATGGCAGGCGTTTTGAT